ATGGATCCGGTTAAATGTCCAATAGAACAAAAGCAATAAGGTACATTGGTATTAAAAGTCCAGTAAAAATTAAAGCCGGGTGATATTAGTGATCAGGCTTTGTTTTACCAAGCTTCTTTGAGAAGAGCAGACTCGAAACAAGCAGGTTTGAAGAGTAGATCAAGATGGTTCAAAGTAAATCAGATTTGAGCAGGTTTCTCTGCATGAGCCAGGAGCAGAAGACTTGTCAGGTTTAAAACAACAAATTCTCTCATTGTGAAGGCCCATTGGTTTAGTCAGGTGTAACCTTTTATAGCATAGATCAGGTGATTATTTTAGGCAGGTGTGAGAGACTGAGGATTGTCCACTTATGGTGGAAAACTGGCATTGCAAAAAACTAAAATAGAAGAAAAAAAAACATATTCCTGGTTGTCAAGATAGGATCCTGACAATGGTGTAGGGCAGGGGTGCCCAAACGATAGATCCCCAGATGTTGTAGAACTGTAACTGCCATGATGCTTTGCATGCCTTTAAAAATGCTTTAGAATTACAAAACATCATGGAAGCTACAGTTCTACAACATCTGGGAATCTACCTTTTGGGCACCCCTGGTGTAGGGTAACTGGGGTTAGTAAATATGTGGTGTGCAATTTATACAACTGTTGCTGTTTCTGGCATCTGTAACATTATTTAATGTAGAGTTACTTGGGATCTGAATATATATATTTTTTATTTTATTTTGCTCACATCAAGAAATAGTTAGACAGGTAACAATGCAGAAGAGTGGGCTTCCGTGTATATTACGCTATTTCTAATTTGAAGTAAGACAACCATTGTAGTGTTGTGTATGTGTTTATATGGCAGTAAGTCTCATTGAGTAATCATCCAATGCAGCCTCCAGATTGACAAAAGGTTTTGAATTTAGCATATGTCAGTTTATTATTTTGTTTGGGGAACTAGCCCCATCATGACAGCTCCACGGATAGGCAGATTATTTATATGGCTTTCCAGAAACAAACATGGGTTGTGTTTTCCTTTCCCGCACGGTTCCAGAAATAATGTATCTAAAACTATAAACTATGGAAATAATTCTGTCATTTCACAAATGAAGCAAAGAAGCAGCTGGAAGGAGTAGCATGTGTTGAGATTAAGTCGCACAGCTGTAAGACGGGTTTACATCTAGGGGTTCTATAAACATCACACAGCAACATTGTTCCAAGTGCGCTCATATCCAGAATACAAAGATTTGGTGTTGACCTCATGTGTCTTCCTGAGTTTTTCCTCCTCCTTCTTTCTTTTATTTTGTTGAGGATGTAAAGCAGACGTGTAATTACTAATTTAGTATCATCAGGCTAAAAGGTTAATGATGTTTTTATTTAATGATTGTGAAGGACATAAGAAGTAATTGCTATGCTTCTGCAGTAAATAAATAACTATTTGGGTTTTAGTAATAGCAGATTATACACAATCAGATTTTGCCCTTAACCCCTTAAAGACACATGACATGTGTGACATGTCATGATTCCCTTTTATTTCAGAAGTTTGGTCCTTAAATAGTTTTGAAATCTTATGACAATGCTACATTCATAACGGCACATCATTTTTAGAACCTTTCCTCAATGGAGCCATTGAAAATGTTTCTAGTTATGAATAGATTAGGATTGAAGGATAATTAGGGCTGTCAAGTATTACCCATGCTGGCTATAGGCAACCTGCACATAACATTCTCAAGTCTTTAAGGATGCAAAAATTGGAAAAATGAGCCATGTCAACTTTACACATTTTTTTATACACAGCATGTAAATATTATAATACTGAAAATTTTGGTTTCGAAATAATAAAAAGTGCATAAATATTCCAGCTATTATTATTATGCAGCTAAATAGTTTATACTATTTAATTTTAAGAGAAAGGAGCCTTTAGCTCCATGAAGACAGGATACAAAATGAACAATAAATATCACAGTCCATACCAAAAAATGTTTTATTAAAAAGATACATAATGGCGATCCATTTATTATGGGGGGGAGGGGGGGGAATGCCTTCAATCCTGTGCTGCCTTCTGAATAGGGTGAGCCGGTGTCTGGACCTCAACATCATTCCTTGAGAGGCAACACACATGTAGGAGAAACAAGACAGGAGCTTTCACACAAACATTGGAGAGCCTAGTAGGGTAATTAAGATATCTGACTGTTGAACTCACATGATTGTCCCTTACCCTCAGGGCTCACCAAAGCACAGTCACATGTCAATGAAAGTGGGTACTGGATTGTGATGCCATATCCAGTCACCCTCAATCTGTTCTATCTTAGAGCTAAGGGTGGGGGGGGGGGGAGAGGCTGTACTGCAGTGTAGTAGACTCCATGGATAGTTATTTTTGCTCAAAGAGCAGTAAGCAAGAGAAGATAGATATTTTATGTGTGAATGGGTTTATTTGTACCTATGTGTTAGTGTGAATCTGTGTGTTTGTGTGTGTGTGTCATTGTGTGTCTGTGCTGTGTATAATTGGGAATCTGTGTATGAATGTCAATGTGTGTCAGTGTATGCATGTTATTGTGTATCTATGCATATCAATGCATGAATTTTTGGATGCATGTTAACGTGTGGGTGTGTATGTTTATGCAAGTCAGTGTGTCTGTGTTAATATGTGTCCATGATTGTGTTTTAGCATATGTTTGTGTATGCTTGTTGGTGTGTCGATGTATACATGTCAGTGATTGTTTATGTGTGCCATCGTGTGGTTATGTATGCAGGTCAATGTGTGTTTGTGTATGCATATCAACATCTAGGCTTCTAGGCTTGTTTGTGTGTTTGTATGTATGCTATAGTGCAGGGATAGGCAACCTTTAGCTCTCTAGATTTTGAGGACTATATTTCCCAAAATGTTTTAAAGGGACACTCTAGGGTCCGGAACACAAACATGTATTCCTGACCCTATGGTGTTAAAACTACCATCTAGCGCCCCTTGTCACTCCCTTGCTCCCCCTTGCCCCCTAAATATAGTAAAATCTTACTTTTATTTTAGTCTGCTGCTGCTGGCACTGCCCCTGATCTGCCTGCTTAGCTGACTTCATCAGAAGTGTTGATCTGAGCTCATCCAAATGCATTCTCATAAGAAAGCATTGGATTGGCTAATACTGTCAAGGAGGCAGATCAGGGGCAGAGCCAGAGCAAGCCAAACACAGCCCTTGCCAATCAGCATCTCCTCATGCAGAGGCATTGAATCGATGCATCTCTATGAGGAAAGTTTGGTGTCTGCATGCAGAGGGTGGAGACACTGAATAGCAGTACTGCATAGTGTGCAGCACTACCCCAGGAAACACCTCCAGTAGCCATCCACTGGCCAGTGGAGTTATCACTAGGCTGTAATATAAACACTGCATTTTCTCTGAAAAGACAGTGTTTACAGCAAAAAGCCTAAATGGAATGATTCTACTCAACAGAACAAATACAATAAGCTGTAGTTGTTTTGGTAACTATAGTGTCCCTTTAACAGTCATAATGCTGGCAAAGCATCATGGGAGATGTTGTCCACAATATCTGGAATTCTGGAAGTTGCCTACCCCTACTATAGTGTGTCTCTGTGCACCACAATTATATTAACTCACACTAATTTTGGGCCAACCAGGACATGCATTTCCAAACATTGTCTTGTACGGCATAGTGTTCATCAAACCATGCATTACAGGAATAATGCACAGATGATGTCACCAACAATGCAGTATGGGATGTGAACATATGATGTTGCATATACTATGTCTGATCAAGGGAAAAACATAGTCTTACCAGGAATCCAGAACTCTATATAGTGACACAAGCCTATCACAGACACATAGTTACTGCAAGATGAGTAGGAGCCTCACACAGACACTTAGATCAACTAGACACGTGCGATTTGTTTCGTTCCAAATGTACATTCAGAAAAATTTCATGCCATTCAGACATTCGGAGGCTTACGAATGTTGGAAATGCCAAAGTTCCAAAGTGATGAAGTTCGGTAGTTTGGAAGTGCCGAATCGGACCGAATGCCATTGGTCCGAATTGTCGAAGCAGACTTACTTGAATTTCCGAACTGAACCACAATTTTTGCCCATGCACATGCCTGAGATCAACCAGATCATTGAAGTTCTATAGAGTCAAAGAGAACTGCAAGATCATTGGAGCTCTATAGAGTCACAGAACATTGCCAGACCACTGGAGCTCTATGGAGTCACACAGCACTGCCAGATCATTGGCACTCTATAGATTCACACATCACTGCCAGATCACTGGAGCTCTATTTAGTCACAGATCACTGCCAGATTATTGGAGCTCTATTGAGTCACACAGAACTGCCAGATCATTGGAGCTCTATAGAGTCACACAGGACTGCCAAATCATTCAAGCTCTATAGAGTCACACAGCACAGCCAGATCATTGGAGCTCTATAGAGTCACACAGCACTGCCAGATCATTGGAGCTCTATAGAGTCACGCAGCACTGCCAGATTTTTGGAGCTCTATTATAGAGTCACACAGCACTGCCAGATCTTTGGAGCTCCAGAGCTCTATGCAGGCACAAAGCTCTGCTAGATCAGCTCCAGCTCCTATTCCTAAACAGCTGATACAGAGCCCTGTGACCAGCCTGCTATCCTTATTTCCTTTCCTTTGCCCAGTGACAGCACGTTCCTCTCCATCTCAATGCTCCTTCCTTCATCTCCCAGTGCCAGGCTCCCTGCCTGCTGTCACGATTCTAGCAATACCATCTCCTCTCACTGCATCCAGTACCTCTATCATCAGCTGTATCCGAGATCTTCATTCTGTTGGGTGATTTGTGATTCACGATCCCCACTTCCCTCCTCTTTCCCTATAGTCTCAGCATCTCCTCTGCCAATCCCTCCACTTCATTACAGTCACCAACTCCCCTCCTCATTACTCTCAGCATCCCCTCCTCCTTATTACTCTCAGCATCCCCCTCCTCATTACTCTAAGCACCCCCTCCTCCTCAATACTCTCAGCTTCCCCTCCTCCACCCCCCCTCCTCATAACTCTCATCATCCCCCCTCCTCATAACTCTCATTATCTCCCCCTCCTCATTACTCTAAGGCAGCATCCCCTCCTCCTCATTACTCTCATCCTCCACCCTCCTCATTACTCTCATCATCCCCCTCCTCATTACTCTCAGCATTCCCCCTCCTCATTACTCTCATCATCCCCCTCCTCATTACTCTCAGCATCCCCCCTCCTCATTACTCTCAGCATTCCCCTCCTCATTACTCTCATCATCCCCCTCCCCATTACTCTCAGCATTCCCCTCCTCATTACTCTCATCATCCCCCTCCTCATTACTCTCAGCATTCCCCTCCTCATTACTCTCATCATCCCTCCTCCTCATTTTCCCTCCTCATTACTCTCCTCATCCCCCTCCTCATTACTCTCAGCATTCCCCCTCCTCATTACTCTCATTATCTCCCCCTCCTCATTACACTCAACATCCCTTCCTCCATTACTATCAGCACCCATCCTCATTAGTTTAATTATCTCCCCCTCATTACTATCAGCATCCCCTTCCCCATTTCTGCCCCCAATACCCCTCAATTTTCTATCTCCCCTCCTTACCCTCAGCATTCCCCCTCCTCATTACTCTCAGCTTACCTCTTCCTCATTACTCTCAGCATCCCCTCTCCTCATTATTCTCAGCACCCCCTCCTCATTACTCTCAGCATCCCCCTTCCTCTCTGCTCTCCCCACCTCTCCTCCTCTTACCATCCCCTCTGCTCTCGCCATTCCCCCTCTCCCTCTCTCACTAGTCTCAGCTCCACTTTCCAGTTCTCCAGCACCCCTAGCCACCTCCTCCTCTCCCCATTTTCGTCTCCTTTCGCCAGAGATCAAGTCCCCGTGTGTCCCTTCCACAGCCTTCCTGCTGCCTTTTTAATTCCTGAACGCAGTAGGATCACCCAATCAAACAATGCCTTTCCTCCCAGAGAATCCCCTGCACAGAGCGTGGAAATAAGAAGTGAGTATTTACTAAGGGAATACATCGATCGCGTGGCTCGCGTCCTGACTGACTGTCCAGGAACTTCACCAAATAATGAGGTCGGGGGTCATTACAAACGCTAGATCTAAGAATATCTCTGCTCCACTCATTGTATTTATAACAGCCAGTGATACATTTCTCTGTAAGAGTTATTTATCCATTTTATCTCCCAGGACAGAAACGGGACTGGTACAATTTGGGTAACTGAGTATCTATCTATTATTGTACTATCTATTACTGCAGAATTCTCTCTGTTCCATCAAGATTATTATTTCTCTGGGATACAATTTCCAGTGTTCCATTCGTTATTATTCCATTATTTTATATTAAGGATGTGAATGTCTTTTATGATGCAGATGTGGAATTAAAAATGCATTTTTCACCTGTATGAGTAACAGGGATAGCCAACACTGGTATGCATGTGAAAGGTAACCCTCCAGTTATTATACAACTACAACACCCAGAATGCTTTGCCAGCTGATAGACTGTTAGATCACTGGGTGAGTTAAATTACCATAACAGCTGGAGGGTACCTGTTACCTCTGTGTGTTAGTGCATCATTGATTGAAAAATGTGGATGTTGCAGTCATCAATCAAATCCTTGTTAGTGTCCATTGAACCTATAATCCAGATATGTATGCATGTTTAAAAAGATGCAGGAAATTGCAGCCCATGTGAATGTTATACAAAGGTAGCCAGCAGTGGTGTTCATTTAAGAGGTAGACCTGTATATATTTTAAAACATCTCCAATGGTACTTTGCCATCCCACAGACTGTCAGATTAATCTTGAAGGTTTATTTCCAAAGGGAGATAGAAAGCAACCTGTTAGCGTCAATAAATGAAATCCTCTCTTGCTTGCATTAAAATAAAAATAAATAAATATATATATTATTTTTTTAAAATTAATTAATTTATTTATTATTATTATTTTAGTGGGTATAAAGATTTGTAGTCATTTTGTTTTTCTGTATGACTTCCTGTAATTGAAGCGCTGAGTATCTTTGAAATTCTTAGACAAGATTATGTTCATCTAAGTGAATTTATCACTCTCTATTCTCCACCAATAGATAAAGTGACCCAGATGTACTGTGTGACAATTTGAGATCGGTGCTAAATGACAGAGTTCTTTTCATAGATCAGCTTTGTAATGGTTACAGTTGCGTTGTAGATCCTATTTGTTGCATGATGTCCAGTATATTATGTATGTGCAGGCATGCGTGAAAAATACCACTAAGCTGCTAAACACATTTCATTAAATCATCCAATGCCTTTCTGTTAATAGACTATGCAAATTTATTGTTATAATGATGACTAAATATGCCGAACTACAGTAGGCTTTTTTTTTTTTTTTTTGCTGATACTGCATTGAATATCCATGTGAAAATACCATTAACTGTTTGTTCACTTCATTTTAAATTGTAACCAATTGAAAAACAAATTGCAAAGTTTAGGCCAAAATAGTTGCTTTTGAAAAATTCTCCAACTAATGTATAGTCACATATTGGCTTTTAGAGCTTAAATTCTGAATTTTTTTTGAAATTTGATGCAATTTGGAGCTTAGTGATTACACCCCAAAGTGCATGCGGATTGCAAGTTTATTTTATTTAAATATTCACCAACACACATATTCTAGCCTACTTATTTTGGTTAAACATTTGCAATTCCATTATTGATTCTTCACAATTCATCTTTTAGCATGTAACCCCCAAAGAGATTTTAAGGGAATAGGCAGTGGGTTACTTATCCATTGACAATTAAATGGTTAATTACCAATTTCCGTCATCACTGCTAATGTACTATTTGCAATTAAGTATCTGTCAATAGCACCACTGTTCCGTTGATTGATTGGTGTGATTTGGCTGTCTTGCTGCAGGTGTACTCAGCTAACTGTGTTTTCTGTCATTAGCAGTTTAGCCATATGTTCTGTGAATTATGCTAAAGTCAGATTGCACTGCCATTAGTTATTGGTTTGCTGAAATATAATCTTGGATCTATCTGCATGGGTTAACAAGGGACTGTATAGTATCATAGCGATGCTTGTTAACTTATCTGTTATTTAATAGATTGCAGCTACTTCAAATACACTGTCTTAATCCTTAAGTGCAATCGGTGTAACATTGGCTAATAAAGTAGTAAGGCTAAAATGGTCGTATGGGGAATTGCTTTTTAAGCAATGTGAAATTTTAGTAAATAAAGTCATTATAGTTTCTCCAGAGTCCAGATTAGTAAATTATGTTTTTATAGATGTAGAACATTACTGGATTCATTATGTTATACTACACAACTTTCCTATTCACCAAATGGACAATTGTGGATACCTTAACCTGGAACTGAAAATTTGAAGATGAATTAGGCAAGGTAATGTCTTCCAACAAATAGCTCAACTATTTCTCTTAGAATTCCATTATCAAGTTTCTACAATTCCTGGTTCAGTGATTAAACCGTCATCGCTTTAAATTCTTAAAGTTCCATGCATTCTCGTTTTGCCCCCTCTTTTGGAGCACTTGTTTGGTTTTCTTTGAAAATAGGTGGCAAATCGTGGCCAATGTCTGGACCAACAAGATTATTTTCCCATCTGGCGTAATGTAGCTAAAATATGCTCTTAGAATGTAGCATTAAATGTAATAGTAAACATATACTTTTAAATAATCTCCCCATAGAATATAGTGCATGCCTATAAGAAGTACATTTGTCTTGTGGCTGCCTGTTTGAAACAAACATTCACACCAAGATGCACAAGGACGCTGGCCAAATATTTTATCTAAAACCTAATTGACAGATAGCACAAGGGACCAGCATGTTAGCAAATCGAAAAATGGTATTTGTCAGTAAAGAAAAAAGTGCTTGAAAAATAAGTGGAAAAATAGAAAACACCATACTCTAGGTTGGCTCCCAGGGACCACTTAGAAGTGTAACAATCGCTCAAAGGCCTTTTGTTTTTATTTAATTACAATTTTTATCTTAAATGTAACTGTGTCTCTAGTTTTTCTGTTGGCCTAGTAAAGGCATAGTGATAACATCATCGACATTTGCTATTTGCAAGTGAATAGTCATATTTTTATAAAATAAACATAATTTAGTTTATATTCTCGTGACCCAATGTATACTTGTGCTAAGCTTTGATTTGCATTGTGGATCAATTCAATATTACATTGATCACAAAGACCCCCAGCAATGTTTTTATACCCTGCACAGAAAATATTTTTTTTGCCAGGGCTCCATTCTGTTCTATTGCATCCCTGCAGAGAGACTGAAAATGGTGCACCACCTGCTTCTCCACACTCTACAGTGGTGATAGGCAAGCTTCGGCACACAATATTTGCACTACACCTATCCTAATGCGTTTGCAGTATTAGTGCTGTAAGGGCATTATGGGAAATGTTTTCCACAACTCCTGAAATGCCGAAGGTTGCCTGTCCCTGCTCTATAGCAAGATACAGTTAAGGCTTCATGGCTTCATTCTTGAGATAGGGAAGGAGGTCACTGAGTATACTGTGCACACTGCAGGCATTCATTGCATGTTACAACAACAGCATACAATGCCCTGTGTTGTGCAAATGCTTGGTCTAGCTGTACTTTCTATATGTGGGCATTATGCTATACTCCATCATTATTTCATCATCCTGAATATATTTTCTGGAAGTTGCTTTCCCATAAATCAGTATTTTGTCATGGAAAGTGCCAGTTTAAATAGTTACATAGTTACACAGAAAAGAGACATGTGTCCATCAAGTTCAGCCTTCCTCACATTTGTTTTTTGCTGTTCATGCAAAAGAAGGCAAATAAAACAAATAGCTTGAAGCATTTCCAATTTTGCAACAAACTTTCTGCTTCAGTATGTATAGATAGTACATTATTTAATGGAAACAAAGGTTTTGGTTGGACTGAAAACCTGTGTGGGACGTGCTGGAACAATAAACCCAAAACATTGAGGTCCTATCTCGCAAACTTGCAGGACTTAAAGGAACTGCTGCTGATGTATTGGATGTGTTCAGAGGTCTTGTGGAGTCCATGCCTCGACGCATCAGAGCTATTTTGGCAACATGAGGAGTACCTTCACAATATTAGGCAGGTGGTTTAAATGTTGTGGCTGATCAGTGTATTTTTTCATTTCTGAAAAATAGCCAATTAATCCATTCCTCTCAGATATGAAGGGGTAGAACTTCCATTGTGTTAAACTTGTTTATTATTCATACTGGGATTGGTGTAGAGCATATATGGCCAATTGTGTGGGTGCTGTGACTGTCAGTAACTGAGATATTGGGGGTTAAGTAAAAAAAAAAAGTCTGTTCCAAAAAGTGGTACAATCATGGAAAAGGAG